GGGGGGGGGGGTTCACTGATAACTGATTTCTGAAGGCTACTTTCACAAATCACGGGAAAACTGACTCAAAGAAACTAAATCATAAACAATCATAATCAGATTTCATAAACAACAAACCTGAATAGCAGAACCACAGACGTGTAGTAAAGAGATGAACTATTAGATGTTTTTCCTCTAGAATTTATGACAACAATGAAAGTGTCTTTGACGCAAAAGGGATATTTTCACTGTTTTTCTGGCATCCTGACGACATTGGATCAGTTAAAATCGGAAGCATCTGGAGAAACATCAGTTTTACGAACTACTCTACCCTAATTTCACAAAATACCAGAAAGTAGGAATGACAGCGCCTTGTGTTTTTATTTCTAATCGCAGTTAGACCCAGTTCAAGAACTTAAAAACCCAGCAGTAAAGGGATCTAAAGAGTTGAAAAGAATCGGTGTGCGAATTCTTCTGTCAGCAACATAAAAGTCAAAATGATTATTTAAATAGGTATAAAAAAAATCTGATTGTGATTTGGCAAAGATGAAGATTATCTGAATATAAATCAACGCAAAAGCTACTAATAGGAATAATAGCTATTTGGGAAAATTCTCAAATTATCTCCTATTTAAGCAAAATAAGAGATAACTTGAAAAGTTACACTTCCATAATACTCTAAGTTTCCAGAGGGGGCAGTGAAGCATCTCATAAAAAAATGGAGAACAAAAGAAAAGTACTAAAAGTAGTCAACAAATGAAAGTATAGCTATCATAAAAATTGAACTTAGCACCACTTAGTGCCTGTTGCACAATCTTATTCTGGTGCAACATTTAAGCAGTTTTTCCTACCGAGATCTGTTGTCATCTAGCATCTAAAATGTTGAATCGTTTTGATCTCTGAGCCAAGTATTCAAACAGATCTCTCTAAGGCTTTTCAAATTCTATTCACTGGTATTTGTTGTTTTACTGCTTTAAAAATAGAACATATTTTTGCTTTAAACTGCATCTGAAAAGGCTTAAAAGGGAGCAGAGTGGTTAATTGACACAGATATGATGGTTGAGTGAAAGAAGAGTCTCTGCTTATGAAAGTTCACTTGGAATACCAGAGGAAGATAACATCGCTGTATTGACTGCCAAGCTACACATTTAATTTAATGGACGAAATCTGAGATGATACTCAAGCTCTGAGCAGATGGCCTTATGCAACACGCTCATTACTAAAACCTTTAGGAGCTCTTTGTCACTGAACCGACGCTGAATATTAGGCTACCGAATGCTATGCTGTAGTTCTTGGTAATTATATCTGAAATAAATGCGTAGATGGATGAGGTGCAACAAGAAACACATTGTGCCTGCAGTAATTTAGAGGCTCCTGGTTATTAACAGACTGAATCGATTGTGGCCATTTTATTTCGTACTGTTCCAGGAAAACTGCTTTGTTCCCTAATCCAATAAGACGGTTGCGGCCGACTTGTAAATCAAAACAATTTTCGGAACTTAAACGCAGAAACCCGCCCCCCCCCCATCCCTCGCCCTCCATCGAAAAGTGGCTCAAGTTAGTTTGTGGTATTTCTGAGCATAATTGTTTGTTGTCCAAAGAAAAGCTGTAATTTACAATAATATGTCCCCAATTAGCTTTTAAGGTGCTTCAGTCATTACTTTATTGAAAAGACATGTTTGTCCTTGATAGAACATGATTACTGGGCCAAAAATCATTAGCTGGGACTTATTGATTAAACATGTTGTGATCTTTTGTTTGACATCAGAGCTGCAGCTTGTGTCCATTCAAACAGCCCAATTGTGCAACGTACAGAGTGCGCAGGTATGGTATATAAAGGATAATAACCTACCAAGTATTGTGTTGAAGCAGTCGTATTACTATAATCTTGGACACATTGATATTTGGTCCAGAATGCAGCCCTACAGAACATTTGAACCGGTTTTGGAAATCAACTAAGATACAATATTTATCCCATTAAGATATATAAGTGCACTCACAATGAGATAAAACTTGTAAAACGTGAAACAAGTTATCAGTTTTCTGAACCAACAATGCTTTTATTTTGAAGAACTGGAAACTTTGTAACAATAAGGTCAGTCCATGAGTCAGGAAATGGATTCTGGTAGTGAGTTATGTGTGGTTCTTATCATAAAGCTACAGCCAAGCATGAACTTTTTAATCAATGATTTATGAGTAGGACCTGTTGTTAAGTCAAGCGCACCCATGAACACCAAACCTTGCACATTTCCGTCGGCTTACTGACAGTGAAAGGTTGACTGGTTGAGCTACTCTTATCTTGTTGAAAACCTCAGGTCAAAGTCAAGTCTCAGGTTTTTAGAGCACTCGTCTAAGTAAGTTTTAAGTATTTGTTTTTGCAGCTTTACTTGGAGACAAATTCACACACTCAAGACCCCAATTCTGTTTTGGAAATGCCATGAGAACTGGCAAACTAAAGGCTGGAATCCAAACAAAAACACACACAAAGAAATTGGGCCTTTCAAAATGACCTTTTTCATAAGCAGCACTCCTTCCCTTGAGGTACAAATGAAACATCAACTGTTTTTTTCCGAGCCAACAGAGCAAAATAAACATGAAAATATTTAATACAAACACAGCTAACAAACAACTGAGAGCAGATGATCTTTTTGCTCCATGCATCAAACTTATCACATGAATGCATTTTCTAAGCCATTCTGATTTAGATGTCCAAAGTATAATTACAGTTTTACAGTGTAGAAATCTTTTTATATTGAACAAATAAAACAAAACTCCAGAAATGTCACCATGTCACTCTTGACAAGTTTAACTGGGCGTTAATCTATTTTTTTTTTTTAATCTGAGGTCAGGGGAACCAAAAGGCCTCATTTTTTAAAATATTGTTTTTAATAAAATGCATTAATATAAAAGTTCACCAAACGCTGTTGACACAAATGTCACACAGGGCTGCAGGTACATGGTTTGATGAGATAGGAAGACTTCAAATGCTCTGTGTCTCTGATCTCTCTCTGTCAAATTGTTGAAATTAATCTCCTCGTCCTCCACAAGCAAACCGATAGCTACTGTCTGAACCTGGAAAATATTGATATTTCTGACTCAGACCTGAAGCTGTTTCAGTCTGACTCAACACCGATTATAAATTCCTTCAAGGAATTCACTGAACAACATAACAGTATGTCCCATTTAATCTATACATCAAAAAGGGGGGGCAACAAAAACTGTTTTACACCAGTGAATCTTTAGGGAACAAAACTACCAAATACAATGTTAGAAAAAAAAAAAAAACACCAACTATGGATGGTAAAAATCTTTACACTATGATACTAAATGGTTCAATATTTGGGATTAAAATGCAAAAGAAAAGCTTAATCTCCTACCTTACATATTGGAAGGCTCTAGTTTGGGATCCGGTACCGTACACCTAAAAGAACATAAATTAGTAGCATTACTATTTGTCGATTAAAAAAAATACATCTCATCGGTAAAATAACCCTTTTGCATTTGCTAAGTTATAGAAGTTTATGTTTAGGAGGCTGCAAGCTCAACAATCCATATCAATCACCAAGTGAAAAAAACAAAAATCCTGTCTGAGAGGAATCCACTTATCACAGGAAAGAATTGAAAGGCGATGAAGTAAAAAGCTCAAAAATGCGTACAGTGAGAGGTTCTCCTTGTAGCGCCTGAAGGATGAAATTACTGACGACCCGTCCGTCATTCATGTGCATCCGGGAACCAAACGTGTTGAAGATTCTTGCCACTCTCACCTCCACACCTTCCTGCAAGTACAGAGGAAGGGGAGTTACGGTGCACAAGCTTTTACATTTCCCTCAGCCTTATTCATCTAATCTGCAAGAGGCATAGAGAAAGTATTGTATTGCATCAACAAGAACTGACTAAAGTAGGGGTAACTTTATTCTTTCAGCCCCCAGGAATATGTCTTGTGATCATATTAAAGTGCTTTGAAAATACTGGTTTTATTCTACATCTTAGATAACTTGTATCTCATAAAACCTTCACATAGATTGACCTGATTCACCAAATGGTTCATCAGTGTTGGAAAGTACAAAAAGGTCAAAAACAGTGTTACTGAGTTTAATCTGACAAAGCTGGGTTTGACGGTAATCCAAGTTGCAAGTTGCAACTTCTGGGATTTCCAATCATTTTCATTCATTAGTATATCTTAGTAGGAATGAATGCTCAATATCAAAACTAGCACTACATTATTTATGTCCAAGCTACTTTTCAATGCCTCTTGGGTGTTCAACTGCATGAATTTAAGCCAGGGTCCTTGAACTCCAGTCCTTGAGAGGTATATTGTCCTCCAGCTTCCAGATGGACATACAGCGAGAAATTCTCACTTTATGTGAGAACCAATCCAATCTAAGAACTACACTAGGTATTCGCTCAATTGCTTTGAGTGCTTCATGTCCTACACACAAACCGCAATGTCCGCCTAAATCTGTCTCCTACGGCTGCATAACTTTCTATTCATAGTAAATGTTAAACGTTAGGCACGTAACGTAAAGGTTAATCGGTTTAGAGGACATGATTAAATTGTTCCACCTGACACGTTCAGAATGATTTTTATATTTTAGTGTCAATATTGTCAATGTTTTTCTTTGTCCATTACTGGAAGAATAGTTTACAATATTCTAGTAAACAATCTTTTAATATCTTTTTGTATAATTGAGGGAAAAATTTCCAGGAAGAATGTAAAAAAGAATCAGCACAAGGCGAAAGTTGAGCAATTATATAAACTACATTTGCATAACAAACTATTTCTATAGAAACTAAAAAAAAATAAAAATAAAAATAAAACAAGCAAAGTTGTATATTATGCTTATTTGTTTACTTTTGCAGAAACACAACAGACCCTGCCAAATCCTGTCAGCAGATTGGGAGAACACCTGGTCGCATTTAACCTTTCCACTATAGCATGGTAATATCATCTTAAGGTTATAACGTCTTTTATGATTGTGTTGAAGGAAAAGTCGACAAGAACCAAACTTTGCACACAAATTCTGTTTGCTTAGCCATTTAACAAATGACTTTAAAACAAAACAGAATAACCTAAATATTTCATCTGAAAGAGAAGATGAGAAATCATGTTTACATGCTGACCTGATGTAAAATAAAAAGACAAAGCTATGAACCTGAATTTGCTTTTCCCCCAGTTTTATGCCCACAAGCTACAAATTGCTGCCTTTCATTAAAGACGCCATTATGAGAACAATCCCATTCATAAAAAGAAAAGCACATTATGTATATGACATAAATTGAATGTATTACACATGTAGGAGAAATCTAATTTCCCAATTTATGTTTTGGTGAACATCTAAAACCTCACCTACTACAAACAGTAAATGAATGCGAGCTCCTTCATGATGGATAACGATTATAAAACGTCTGCTTTTATAATCTGTTGGCCTTCTTAAATTCAGCCTCATGCATCAAGAAAAACACTTTGAATGCTAAGTGGAGAGCTATTTGGGAATAATGCATGAATGAAAACATGAAAATTATGCAGATTGTTCTCTTGAAAATGTAGATCATGAGATTCATAAGACTTGCAAAGAAATTCAATACGTTGAAGATCAAGGACACGGTAAATAGAATACGCTGAGGAAGTACTGACAAGTGTTTGTGTGGACACGCTGAGTGTAAATGATGATCTTTGTCATTAAACTTCAGCCAAGGCGTGGCTCCAGCAACAAGCAGCTGCAGCTTCTCTAATAGAGAACATGCTAAAGAAGAAAATGTTCAAAGTCCATAAGAAACAAACAAACATGACAATCATGGTCGTGTCCACCTCTTCTTTATATTTAATGTAAAAAATATAAAGAAGAATCAAATTATTTTAAGGAGTTAAGATATTCTAACCCTAAAACTACCGCAGTTTTATGCACCAGCAAAAAGTTTAGGGGAAAAAAATGACATAATAAAGAAGCAACTTTTTTTTTTTTTTTCAAACTGCACAATATAATAAAACAACAGTATCTAAGAAACCTATTCAAACCTTAAGGCAATTTTTCACTGCAATCAAACTAAACATTTGTTTTGAGCCCCAAAAGTAACATGCTATATTTAAAAAAAAAAAAAAAAAAAAACTATTACAGGAACCTTTTTTTTTTTTTAAGAAATCAAACTTAAGAATGCTTACTCTTATTTCAAGGTCAATACATGTTTTCTTTGAGACATTCAATTTTTATATATAAAAAAATTATGCAAAAAACCAAACAAAAAAAACAATCTTCTTCGTCTAGAAAACAAATTTGTGAAATTACCTTTATGTGATAAAATTTAGCAAATTTTTTGGTGGTATTTTTTTTCTCCAAAGTTATTGAGAGCCTAAATAAGAGGGTCTAAAGAGCCACATGTAACTCTACTGTTGCACGTTGGAGATTTCTGACCCAGCTTTAGGCACTGCCTCACCTGTCGTCATGTCAGATCCAAAACGCTAAGAAAATATCATATTTATTCATATGTTTGAGATGGAAGAATATACGCAGAGATGCACAACTAAATCAGTAACTTTCAGCAAAACCATCAATAACCACAATCTATAACAGGAGAAAATAAATTGCAATCATTAAAAAATGAATATGTATCATAATTTCTAATAATAATACAATTAAATCAGCCGCGCAAGTCGTGCTTTTTCAGTCTCCGCTCCAGCTTCCTGTTTTAAATGTTAACGACTTTTGATTATATGACTAGACAGTAGATGTGATGTGTGATATTCTTGTCCATCCTCACAGCCTGACTGTCAGCTGGGTTTTTTTTTTTTTTTTTTTAGGGCAGCTGTTTCCGAGAATTTTTCTAGCAGGTGTGAAAAAAAATAATGAGCAGCTGAGGAGGAGCAGGAGACGGGAATAGATAAATAAATACCACCTGCCTGAAGGAAAGGCAAAAGGAGTCGGTCATATCTGATCATGAAAGGCTGCCGTCACTCAGGTCATTATCAAACAGGCTCTACATAAAACTCAAATGATTTGAAGGTTGTGCATCATCATTTTCCATGAGTTCATAACTGATTCGATCTCAGAACAACTAACACCGTCGCTCATGAGCTTGTGAAAGTAACACCGCTGTTGTACATTTTACAATTAATTTATTGACAACTTTCCAGACTGTTCAATTTCCAACCATACTCCATAAGTCCACACAAAATAAAAACAATTACAACCAAATCCACAGATGACACTTTCGTCCTCCAGCATCAGGAGCTGACAGTTTCTGACCGTAAATACTAGCCTGACTTTAAAAAAGAAAAAGGAGCCAACATGCAATACCTGCTTCATGTAGGCGTAGCACATCGTCTCTGCTACACGCTTCCCCTCGTCGTAGCAAGCTCTAGGACCGATTGGGTTCACGTGGCCCCAGTAGTCCTCGTTTTGGGGATGCACCTCTGGATCTGGGAAACAAAATTAAGACAAGTTTTTAGATCTTTTTAATTTGGTCTAAGACAAACACATAACAGAGGCTCGTTAAATTCTTGATTTCTACAAAAAAAAAAAAAAAACATGTTTACTCGACTTATACTGAAATTTTTAAAGTGTTTAAAGATTAACTAAAAGAACCTCGGAAAAATTCAACTTTGTATGCAGCCTGCAATACTGATATCAGCAATTAAAAAGAATTTTTCGTCTGAAAGCTTAATTGCGTTATTTGTTCACAGACAAGATGCTTCTTAGAGGCACTTGCTGTAATCCAACGTCAAGATACTCAAACTGATCCTGCAACTAGTCTGAAGACATCCATTTATGCCCGACAGCAAAAACAAAGAAAGCACAACCAAATAAATTGAATACAAGGTTGTTAGATTGGTGTGCTGCATCTTCTGTTGTTGTGCAAGGTGTTGCATCTCTCCCCTATAACTCCTTTACCTTTTCCTCTCCCAACTCACTTCCTACTATGGGAGGTTAACACCGAACCAGCCATCTACCTCTGCGGTACTTACATCCCTAAGCCTGCAGAGTGAAAACCCACCTCATAATTTATAGAGCATCTATTTCGCTGGTTTATCAGAGAAGACTCATCAGGACTTCTACCAGAAAACATGTTAATATCTCCTCCCTCTTCCTTCTGCGAATTAAGCAGTCAGCAACGTTTCACAGATCACACTCATTAAACGGCTGCTCTCTTCTTATTTACATCTGCCTCTTGGAACTGATCCAGGTTATGATTTAGTGACTCATAAGGAGCCCCAGGTATGCTGTTTTAATACTTTTTTGCTAAAGCAACTGATTGATATCTTTCATAAATTTGCGAATCATGCACAAAGACCGTTTTACCACCATTGAAGAGATTTACAGTGGCAATAATCGAATGTGCACACTTAATTAGTAAAGCTTAGAAAGCGTCAGTACAGCTTGATTCAAAATCCTAGAACAAAACTAAAAATCTAACTAATCCAACATATTTATTCTTGATGCTGCATCTAAAAACAATCTAAGAGGAAGTTTTAGGATCAAGCTTTTCATGCACCCTAATCTTGTGGTTGCACTGCAGCAGTAAATCAAGCTCACTTGACTTCACTGCCTGGGTTTAGGCTGCATCTGCGAGCATCAACACAGTCATTCTTGGTGATTCCAGCTCTGCTAAAGCATCTGGATACTGAGAGGTGATTTGTGAGATTCAAGTTGCTCATAACTGATAAGAACAACATTGTCTTTTTTTCTGTCTGCTCTGTTTATGTGCGCTCACTGCGACCGCTGTCCAAGACTGCTGCTGATTGGTTTATGATGACTACTTTACTCTTCCTCAGCCAACTGGCAGCACATACGCGACTCTTCTCACTCCCATGAAGATTGCTTTGATCTTCTATGTGCTGAATGAGAGCAGCGTGCCACATTTTATTTTCAGTAAGGAAAACAACGATGCAACGATGGAAGAGTCATTTGTTAGATTACTTGTTACTGAAAAGAGCAACGCTGTTAGTAACAGTTTATTTTCTGCCATTGTTCCCATCGCTGGTCAGAGCAGATCTTCTGGAAACAAAAGGTTTGAAGAACTGCAGGTCAGTTCTTTCCTTTCTCCACCACTGGCTTGATTGGATACTGGGAAACTCCTTGGAAAGCAAGGAATTCAAACTAGTCTTCATCTTTGGCTTGAGGACTTGAAAACCTTTTGAAGGAGAACAGTCAGACTACAACAGACAGCTTCTTCACCTTTACTGATCAGAGGACTTGAAGACTTTCTTGGATGGAAGAAGCAACAGCTCCAAAAGTTGTATTTATTTTTTTTACATCTTGCTCGACTAGATTCTTTTAATGCTCGTAATTTGGAAAAATAAAATCAGTACACCACAATCAAACACAGGTTTCTACTTCACACGATTTCTCACCTTAGCAAAAAAAGAAAAGAAAAAAAATCATAATTCATTTAACTGAAACTAATTTCATTTAATATCTAATCACTTGGCATGCCTGATTCAACAAGTAGGAAATAGTTCAATTTAATCATGGTTGTACTAAAAAGTATGCCTCTATAAAGGAAAACAACACTTATCACCACAGCTGCTGCCAGTGCTGTAAGGGAAAAGCAGACACTGCGACATATCTTTGGCCTTCAGGCCTTACATTACAATTATAGCTTAAATATGTGTTTTATAATTATACTACACATGTGCGTAATTCAAATGAAAGACAAAAGGGCATAACTGTAATTTGATTTCAGCATTCAAACCTCTTTAAGAATTTATTAGCATTCCCCTTCTAAACCTGGAGATATTTTCCCACTTTGCTTCACAAAAATGTACCAATAATCTCTTGTCCAGAGCAGTTTCAGGTAATCGCACAGATTTTCTGATGGGTTTAGGAAATGACTGTCTAGGCCATTCGAACATTTTCTCCTCATGAAGTCATTCTTTTGTTGGCTTGGACGTTACAGCTGGACTCACTGTGATGCAGAAGAATAGAATCCCTTCTGTTTTTTTTTTGTTTTTTTAGCAGACTCCTGAATGACTTAGGACAAAAATCACTGCTATGTTGACCTGTTCATAACCCCCATTCGTCTGAAAAAAATTTAAGTGCAGATATTAATGCTGCAAAAGTTTTATTTCACTGCGAGTATAATGTTCTTTTGGTAATGTTCTGTGTTGATTAGTTTTTGTGTCGTGACATTTATACGACACCTCTATGTGTGCTAATTTTTGGAGCATACTGCACCAATAATGTAAGGGTCGAGTATAAAAGCCTCTCCACTTGCCCAGATCACATGTTTCACCTTGTTTGGGGAAAAAATGCACACCCCACTGCAACAACTTAACATTTAAGTTATTGCAGCTCATTTCATTAATCACCTTTGATAACAAGCATGGCAGAAAATAATTCAGAGCCACTGCGACAGGAGCAGACTGCTGCAACCCTAACCCTAACCCTGTGCAAAAGTTTTAGAGGATTTTAGCAAGGCTTGGAATTTTTTTTAATATTTCATACGTTCAGCCTTCATGTACTGAAACCCCTCTGCAGTTGAATCGCATAAGAAAGGCTAAGGGTGGAAAATCTTTTAAATGATTTTTCACAGTCTCATTTTTGTGCAAGTTTTACAAGGTGTTAAGACTTTTTAGTAAACCAATTAATACAACACACACAAGTGTCTTTTTACATCAAGCACATAGATGCTCCCTGGAAACTGCAGTTAAATGCTGAAAGGCAAATAGAGTCACAAAAGATGGTCCAAAATCTAAAATAACAAGCCTTTCTTTCAAGGAAAATGTTAAAGCCTTTGCTTTAATGAAATTAAATTAAATTACTTGGCCTAAAGTACGCCTAATGTTGCAGGTTTGTCATATTTCTGAACAAAAGCTGACTTCATGTATGTTAAAATTGGACATCGACAGCTTGACAGATAACCCTCTTAGGTGCACAATGGCTGCTGACAGAGCTGCTAACTTTCACATAATTGACACAGGACACCATTTAGCTTTTTCACCTGCTCTCACAACATTCGCTCTTCATATAAGCCAAACTGGCAAATGTCTTGGTGTGAAAGAAGAAGACTGACAGCGCGCAGACAGAAGAGACGAAGCGCGCAGCAGCATCGATCCGTCTGAAAACAGATTACAGCCTCGTTGTCGGACTTTCTGAAACCTCATCTTCAGATTTGTGCATTAAGAGCGTTTGATACGAGATGTAAGAAATCCACGACAAATCTACCGTAATTTTAAAAAACAAAAATCATTGATGACTCCTTTAGAAAACCACATCCAAACCAGCAAGGTTGGGAGGTTCGAGACCAGCTGTTAGTTTTTTCCTTGGTGTGTGCAGCGTTGGTCTCAGAAGAATCAACCTTAACTACTAGCCTGATACAATAAATCTTTTTTTATTTTTTCTAAATCTACTACATGAGTATTATGCAATATAAGCAGAGGGAAATTGTTTAGAAATTCTGCATCAATTTAAGACTGCATTCAATAAATTTAATATTAGTTTATTATGGAAATGATTGATTTAGTACCATGAAGTAGTTTTGCGTAATCGGGGTTCTTGCAGATTTCAGTAAATTTAAGACTTTTTTTTTTTTAAATTCCCTCAAACCCTGAGAGATAACTAAAAATCTCTTCCACCGACTTTCATCTGAGTCGATTTATTGTTCCTACAGTTGCTGCTGAAGAAGATCTGAAAAAATAGCTGAATCTAAGGTGATAATTTCACCATTAGTCATTTTGCTAAATTAGGAGTTCAATAAGCTTACTACTGCAGTCTGTAAAATACATTTTGTCTCAGTATGAGGTTTCACTTCAACAAATATAATTCCCCTTTTATCTGGGGAAAAAATACATATTTGTCGTTCTGTGATCAGTTGATCTAATAAAGCCAACCATTAGTTGGCTAAAACAAATTAAATTAATGTATTTTTCTGTGTGCTCTTTATTTCATCATCAATTTTTTAGATTTTAGTGGCTTAAGCATTGGACTTGCAACCTGGTTTACCCTTTTATCTCGCCCAGTGGAGTTAGGCCCAGCTCTCCAGCTGGATTAAGACAACGGCTGGATGGATGACTCGAGTATTAAGCAAAAACAAACTCAAACAAACAGACAAACCCAAATCAAACAAATTAAATAAAAAAGAATAACAGAAATACTACTAAAATATGATTCCAACTCAATTCACAAGTGGAAAAAAAAACAAAACACTAAGATACTTCAAGAACATTTACATAGCAGCTGTCAAAATGCTAATATACTCAAATATCCTCACTCTGCCTCCTTAACCTTTGTGAATAAATTACATGCCTCCACATTGTTCCAGCATGGACTCTAAAATCGGCTCTCGTTCAGTTTGATCTTTCGTACCTCCATAAACTTCAGATGTAGAGGCCAGCAGAAGTCTTGCACCCACTCGTTTTGCCAACCCTAAAATACGAAGCAGCACAAAGACACACATCTTGAAATGTAAAGTAACACTACAATATATTAAATACAAAACAACACAGTGTAGAAAATATCATCCAACATCAGAAGTCAGACAGCAAAATGTTTTGAGTTAACTCGCTCAAGTTAATGAAGCCTGAGTGATGCGCTAAAGGAAGTTGTTTTCACAGAAGCCATTTCATCATTCAACTAAAGTCGTTTTTATCTCAAACATGGCCTTTGGTAACATTTAGCCAGGTGTTTGTTCACCGAGTCATTACTGTCTCATGAAGCAAGGTGCACTTGTTTATTCAGCTTTCTAGGGAGGTTATTTAGGACTGCACTGTAAATGGTAGAGCTGTTGACCTGAATACTACATCACAGTACACTGTGACCATTTTTGCCGAGGGGGGGAAAAAAAAGACAAAATGCCTTACATAAAGTAAAATGACGTTTTTATGTATTTTCTCTTATTCTAAACAGTAAAACCATTGTTTTTTGTTGTTTTTATATAATTTGGGTGAGGTTAAAGACAGAAGTTGGTGAATAGCAGCTGCTGATTGTTTTAAACAAGATTTGGTCATTTTATTAAGTGATTTACGACATGAACAGTAATTGTAGTTGGTAAAAGAAAGATTGTTCTGTGGTTTTTAAGAATTATTTCAACAAGTATGGTTGATAACTTTGTCACCGCTGCTTTCTCTAGTTGTTCACAAAGAAACAAAGGGGGTTTCAGATGAAGGGGTGTGGTTTTATTAGTACAAGATCTTTGAGATGTTCCTCCTCCTGAATCAACATTGGTTGCTTGTAAGGCTTCATCGGTGTCACCTTTGGATTCTCTGACAGGTTGGTAAAGGTTTCATTTTTTCCCAAACGGACAAATGGAGAGCCAACGTACTCATGAATCATTGCAGCGATTTTTTTTTTCAGGTTCTTTTCTTATTTTTGTAGGAAATGTTTCTGAATTCACTGTCTGAATGAGCCAGAAGCAGTTTTACTTAAATAAAAAGTGTGACTCATAGCAATCTTTATTCATGAAATACGAATAAATTCTCTGCTCTCATATTAACAAAAAGTCAAATGGCACAGGATGTGTCCGACAGGCTCATTCGTTGCTTCTGGCTACATGATTCAGCCTTAAAACATCTGAAACATCCGCAGAGCTGCTCACATTCACTTTCCATCATCTAAATTTGAACAATAACAGGTGCTACTGTAACAATCAACAGTGGTTGTTGTAGTTGACAGTCAATGATTGTGTTTGAGCAATGATTTGTTTTGTTTTTTTTCTAAATACTTTGATGCAGAGGTTTCCAAAATGAAATCTACTGATTAAAATGCTTCAGCTATTTTGATTTCCTACACAAACACGCCCACTGCAATATTGATTTTAGTATAGCTTTTAAGCATTGCAGTGAGAAGTGAAAATTTTCACTCAATATTTGTTGAACAGCCATGTGGATGGATTAACTATATCTACAGCATAAACAAATAGCTGGTAAAAAGAACAGAAAGGATAAATGCAGCTGTATCAAATAAATATATATATATATATAATTTGTATTCAAAAACATTAACAGGCCATACATTAACTGTACAACCTTGAGGTTTTAGAGGGCACATTTTGAAGATATTGCCAGCTTTCAGCATCATAAAGAAAATGTTGGAGTGTTTAGAAACAAAAACTGCCCTTGAATAGCCTTGATTCACTTCCAGGTTGGGTGTATTGCTTCACCGATCTGAAGTGTGGAACAACTCATCAGGTGACATTAGGCCAAGCTGAATAATCACCTAGTGAAACATTTCAATGCCCTTGAAACTGTCCAAAATACAATAATTATAAGAAACGATGTTAAGAAACGATTCTAAAGCATTCAGTAAAGTAGAAGTACATGTGAATCCACCAAGGCTAAAGCTCTCCACAGTAACTCACTTCCTCCTTATTCCATCACATTCAGAGTCCTGAACATCTGTGTCAGACTTATCATTTATCTTTGGAACACTGACTCTCAAAAAATAAACTAAACACAAATAAAAAAAATAAAAAATAGAAAAAATAGTTAAGACTCTTTTCCGTAATGTAATACAGGTGTGGTAAAAACACAGTTTCAGGGGAGCTTTTTAGAGATGAGTCAGAGTAGAAGTGTGGCTTCTATGATGGTAGCGGGGGAAAAAAAACAAAAGAGGCTGAGAAAACAAGATGGACTCAATGATTTACTGACTGACAGTAGCTGATATTCACCTTGTGCAAAAAAATTAACCAAATCTATTTAACAAACAGGTTTAATACACATATGTACTTAATTTCTCTGCTTGGGGACAAACAAAGCAATATTTTGTTCTATTCTGTTTGTACATGGAGCATTTTTAAAGTAAAATGTCATGACTCTTGTCAAAGCTAAACGATGTGTAAAAGGGTAAAATAATATGCATCATCACACTAATATTTATGATTTTTTTTTCAATTCTGAAAAAATAATTAACATTGAGAACTTATATGTGTAAATATATTAAGAACAAATCCTTGCAATTTCCATATAATTTCACAGGAAACTTGATTAACTGGTTCTCAGCTACTATCACCACCACTATACAGCAGGAGATTTAGCACTTTGCTGGTCTGGACCACACAGCTATTGTGTTAAAAGCATACTAAAGCAGAAAATTGATATTAAATACATAAACAAAGAACAGGAGATGCATCTCAGCCCTTTCTAAGAGTTAAATTGTTACATTTATGAAAGAACAATTAAAATGAATCCCATTTTCTAGAGTTGTTAAGGGATTCAGACTCAGAATATGAAAAAATGGCAATAATCCGACTCCAACAATCAGCAGTTTAGTTTTACTCCTCAAACATGAAAGTGTGCTGTAATATCTGAAGCAAACTTATGAATTTGATATTTTTTAAATATTGGGATTCTAAGCTATTTCAAAAGAGTTTTGAAGTTTTCTTTTGCCAAAATGTTAAAAATCTGATTATGCAGCAAGTTGGAGTACTTTCCTTTGTAATTTTCCATTTAAAATCTTGTAACCTTGCACTATGCTGAAGAAAAGGTAGGTTTTTGAAAAGAGCTTTCAATGAAGACTCAGACAAACACATTTCTCAAGTAAAACTGTTGCTTATGTAATTCTCATGAGGAAAAGTTCGATTTGGTCAAAGTCAGAATCTGTCGGTTTGAAGGTTTGCAAAAATGTTAGCTTCAAAATTCAAATCTAGAAATGAAAAAGAAAAATCTTTAACTGTCCAAAATTATGATAAGCTTTAAAAACTGAAGTAAAACAAACAAGGTTACTCACCGAGCATGTTCAGAGTACCAATTGTGTTTGTCTTGAGTGTTTTGATGGGATTGTACATGTAGTTAGGAGGGGAGGCCGGAGATGCTAGGTGGTAGATCTGGTCCACTGCGAAAGATCAGGAGATGCAGTGAATCATCTCACCTTACACTAATAGAAACCTTATTTTTCTTTTAAAATAAAAACAGGAAAACAGTGCTTTGCATGGCAGTCAAATTTTGAGGTCTACATTTCAAATCAAGAGCAAGGAGGAATTAGAATAACAGGAAAACATTTCTGAAATGCCTATTTAATAGAAGCCAAAGTACTGTTAAAATATATTCCATATCCAATGCTGAAGACAAATATAGTGACATCTTTACTTGCTCTTTTTTCTCAGTTTCATAATAGCTTTAACAAAGCCCAGGGCATGCATCGAGTCCAAGCAGATGGAAAAAAATGAAGCTGCAGGTAAGAAAAGCAGAAGATGCACGACTCCTAGGTGACGTCAACTAAACCCTGAGTTTTTCTCTAAGCTACAATCATTTTTCAGCCTAAAATTGACTGAGATCTGAACAGTAATGTTTATTTTTCAAGAAACTTTGCATCGATGCTTTACCAGTTCACAAGAATTAAAAACTACAACAATTAGAAACTACTGAGTGGCATAAATCAATGTGTTCAACTTAAACTAAATCAAGAAAAAGCAACCTTTTAAATCACAGTTTAATAACTTTTGTCTCTTGTGATAAAGATACAATCGCAGCCTGATCAAAGTTCACATAATTTCTGAAAGTTATGTAAACTACATTTTGTCGAAATTAAAAACTTGTGAAAAATCAACAACTAAGAAAGAAAACAGTAACAGAAAACAACGGTAAAATGTTCTTTGCTTCTGATTTTTTACTCCCTAAAAATGTTTGGCCAACATAACGTATTACCTACTTACTGAATTTAATTAACTACGTGCATTATCCCTTTTTTTTTTTAGAGAGGGGTCGATGACAATTGCCAAGAATAAAAAAAAAGTAAATTAATTTAAAAAATCACCCAGAAGAATTGGTAGCTTTGCTAAGGGTCACAAACAGAAAGGAAAGTTTCATAACAAACAAAACAGCCTTTTTATTTAGTTCTTCTCCCTCAACATTTCATCTGTTCTCTAATGAAAGTTTCTGATTTGACATTTTAAAATAATTCCCAGTCATTTCTCCACTGCTAGTCCCTACATAAGTTTTACACCAAAAGCACACAAGAGAACTATTATAGGAACAGCAGGAAACTTGTGTGATACATTAGAATTTGTTCTTCTCAACTACGAGTAAATTTAACTTAAATCAGCTGGGATATTTTATTCATCATGTCTGACTGATAGTTTCCACATAAAAACATTGCATCATTTATACTGGATGCACTGAATTATTCAAACAGGGGTAGGCCGAGGTCTTCTCATCATAAACATGAGTGAATCCTGGGAGACATTTCAAGGTGCACAACCCATCTGAGCCAAAAGAAAAAACCCCACCAACTATTTATCATAGTCTGTTGGCTGTGCTGTACGTCCCTTTAGTCCTTACTGACACTGACGATTACACAGCAGCCAAAAAAACAACAAAAAAAAAAAACAAAAAAACAAAGCTGTTTTCAAAAACAACAGCTGATTTAATCGGAGATATTTCTGAACTCAGGCTATTTGAAGAGTGGACTTGAAAAGTACAATCTGCTTCACTCGGTTTTGGAACTGA